TATATGACAAAAACCCGCGGAGTTATTTAAACGGTTTTGTGAAATTTCTGTCAGATCCCGCCGGTGGGACTGCCGACCCCAGGGAGTTAACAGCTGAGTTCCTGCTAACCAAGTAGCTGACATAGAAGTGCGAGGGCACACGTTTGTGGTGTACAGTTCCATCAAAAGCATCCATTGAGGAAAGCGGTTTTTCTGTTGTGCTCCCAAGCAATGCATCTATGGATGTTTTCCCGCACAATACCATATCAAGCTACATGACAAAACTAGCCAAACCCATTGATTTGAATGGTAAATGGGAAGTAGGATTAGTGGAAATCCATTACCCGCGTACATGGGATACGTAGGTAGAAGAAGACACCATATTTCATGTGACCGGTAGAGTGTCAATACCGCCTACCCTGCAATACAAACTAAAGGTGGGGCATTACAGAGATATTGAAAACCTAATTAGTGAGATGAACGATGCTCTAGGAATGTAAAAACTAAAACTTGACTATAGTGTGATAAAAAACAAAGTGTATATGGTTGGACCACCACATATGGCTTTTAAAGCAAAAGGTAACCTTGCATGGATCCAGGGGTTTGTTCCTGATGTATTTCACATATAGCGGGGGGTACACAACTCGATGGTCACAATATCGTATGACAGGATTCATTACGTGTCGCTCTGCAAGAATCACATTGATAATATAGTCATCCAGTTAAAGTCTGACCAGAACAAGGCGATACCCTTCCGATGTGGGAAAACGATCATAAAGCTGCATTTCAGACTGGCTAAGCAGTACTACCCCCAATAATGTACAGCGCCGACGGTTTTTCAGACCCACATAGATATGTGGAATACTACAGAAACCAAGCGGGTGATGTCTCCCCGGATACAACGGAGCCCCCGTCACGTACGGTGGGGGTCTGGGTGGCTTTTTTAGAGGACTCCTCAGAATGGCAGTGCCATTTCTGAAAAGCGGGGGCTCCGCATTTAGAAACCGCATTTAGAATCAGCAGCGCAAAATATTGCTAAAGATGTTGTGACTGGTGCCATAACAGGGCAATTAACTGCATGACTGCAGGAAGGCTCAGGGCTCATGGTGTTGACCCCCTGGGGATCGAATTACCATCACTACAAAATGCAGAGTAACACCCAAGAGAGGCATAGTACCCAAAAAGAAGCGAGAGAAGGTGGACAAAAAATATAATTTTTCTAAAACTATGGCCTTCATACACGTCAGAGGATTGTATGAAATCAGAATTGGATATTTTTGCATTACCATACACACAAGCAAGCATTGATAAAAATATATACATGGAAGTACCACCACTCTCAGATTACCTAGATCTTAACAACATGCTACTGCATCTCCAGTGCCGAATCACAAGAGCTAACGGGGCAAACACTGATGCAGCTGCAAAAGTGGGTGTCATAAATTACCCGATCGCATCAATTTTCTCACAAGAGTACGTGTCGCTCGACCGTCTCGTGAGTCAATCTAGCAACACGTACCCTTAGAGAGCGATGATAGAGTGCCTGCTTAATTATAGTGTTGGCACACTCTCCAGACAGACTCCCAGCAGTCTCTGGCCGTCCTAATTGATTCCGGGGCAGATGAGAGCTTCATCGATTCTACACTGGCTCAACAGTGGGGAATCCCCACCACCCGCGTCCAGGCAACACGGACAGCTTACGCTCTGGACGGAAGGAGAATGGCAACCATCTCCCAGGTTACTGTTCCGGTGAGTCTGTTAATAGGGGGAGCTCATGTTGAGACCCTTTCTTTTTATCTGATCGACATCCTTGGCTTGTCCGGCATAACCCTCACATCGACTGGGAGAGGGGCACAATAATTGCCTGGAGTCCGTTTTGTTTTTCCCAGTGTCTGCACGCTAGTCAACCATCTAGAGGTCCCCACACAGGATGAGGAGTTCCCGGATTTGTCAGGTGTTCCGGCAGAGTACCACGACCTGAAGCATGCTTTCAGTAAGTCCCAGGCCGCTTCTCTTCCGCCGCATCGGCCTTATGATTGTGCGATAGATCTGCTACCTGGAACCTCCCCTCCCAGAGGTCGTCTCTATTCTCTTTCGGGCCCCGAAAGAAGGGCTATGGAGGAGTATGCACCAACTGGGCTTGTCGTTGCTTTCGTGAACAAAATTGATATGAATGCCATCAGCTCACAGAGAGAAAGGGTCCAGCTGGGGTCTGTTCTGCAGCCTTCATGGATCGTGCAACGCTCGATGCCTGATCGATGCCTGGTCTGAATTATTTCTGGTGCCGGCAATCAAGAATACAAAGCCCCGTGACCGCTACCAAGCAATTATGAGATATTTGCGCTTTGATAACAAGGACACCCGTGCAGAACGAGCAAAAACCGACAGATTTGCAGCAATCTCAGACATCTGGCAACGTTTCGTCTGTAACTGTATTTCAAGTTACAACCCAGGACAACATCTTACTGTGGACGAGCAGCTATTTCCGACCAAGGTCCGTTGTACTTTCTTGCAATACATCGCTACAAAGCCTGATAAATTTGGTATCAAGTTTTGGATTGCAGCTGATTTGGAGACCAAGTACATGTGCAATGCTAGTCCTTACTTAGGAAAGGA